GCGCGTGCCCGCCTCCGGAGGAGCCGCTTGGCAGGAGGGCGGAGGGATGGGACACGTCCCCGCAGCAGAGCAGTGGCCTGAGCAGCGCGTGATGCTCACCGGGACAGGACGGCAGCGCCACGTCCAGCGCAGACCCGGCCGTGGTGTCCCAGGGTGGATGCTGCCATGCCCCTGCGCGCTCTTTGAAGGCTACTTGTCCTCGGATAAGTGATCTCACAGGGTGCTGTGGGAGTCCAGAAGACCACGGGTGGGCTCCAGGGTTCCCTCTGTGGAGAGGGATGGATCTTCCCGCTGGGGTCACGGGAGCATCCCTTTCTCCTGAGGCCACAGCAGACAGCGGTTTCCCTGAGTTCCTGCTGCGTGCGGCAGCCCGTGGGGACGGCGACCGTCCCGGGGTCCCCACGCGGGAGGCAGTGTCTGGGCAGGTCTGGGACGTCTCACATGCAGCACTGCGCGAGCTGTGCTGTCTGCACGTCCCGCCTTCGCTCCCTGCAGCGAGGTCTGCCGGCGGCACTGGGGGTGGGGAGGGGGGACCCCGGACCCCTGGTGCAGGGGCAGAGCAGGGGGACGACGCCCCACTGCCGGCTGTATGCGGGGTTATTTCTGTGGAAGACCTGTGGGTACTTGGATGATAAAACACCCATGTTTCTGCAGTCTGAGAGTGCCACATCAGGCTGTGTCTGCGAATCTGAGCCGCCTTCTGGCACCACAGCAAACTATATTTTAAACTGTCTCCATGTCTCAATGTTTTGTGTTTGTTCTTTTTGTTTATCTGGCTTTAATAAGAGATAAAAACAATGTCCGCCTTTGTATTTAGCTCCCTGCAAACCGTCAGCCTGTGCGCTGTGATTTTCTGAAGGGTTTTCTGGGAAAATGTCATTAAGATGAATGTTATTTCACATTTCACTGTTTCTGACTTTACAAATCTGAAGCTTTGGAGGGAGTGGGAATAGGGGCGAGCAGCCGGAGTTCAGACGGGCGCTTTCCTCTCCCTGCAGAGCTCTGCTCTTCCCTTTCCCGTCTCTCACTTCGCCGGAGCTTTGTGGCAGCTCATAGCGAAAGCAGAGCTGTGCCTGCCCTCCCTGCCCGGCTGGAAATCCCACGCTGGTCCTCGCAGAGCAGCGATGACAAATGCATGGCTGTGTTCGTGGGCGCTCGGGGAGATGTAAAAACCGTGTCCGCTCGTCGTGATGCTCACGTGGTGATTTGTTGGTTTGATTCCTCAGGTCGCGAGCTGGCAAGCACAACCCTCCCAGGATACCCTCCGCACGTCCCGCCTGCCGGACAGGGCAGCTACTCCGCTCCGGCGCTGACAGGAATGGTGCCTGGTGAGTCTTCAAACGGGGAGGGAAAAAAAAAAAATTAAAAGAAGGGAAAAAGACAGCATTTCAGGAGGAAAGCGTGGCGCTCCGTGGATGCTCTGCGCTGAGGCAAGCGCGAGGCAGAGAGAGCAGCGCTGGAGGGGAAGGGGAGGTGAGAGC